CTTGCCCTTCTTTGTTCTCGTGCGCCTGTCTCCTCCACGTGTACCCTGTCTCTCTCTCTTCTTCTCTCTGTCTCTCTTTCTCTCCTTTCTTCCTTCTCTCCTTGTTCTTGTTCCTGTTCTTTTGTTTTTCTTTCTGCCCTTCCTCTTTGCACCAAGCTGGACAGAGGCCGGTGGAAGAATTTGAGCTGTGCCTTCCCGACGGGGATGTATCTATTCATGGTGCCGTTGGTGCTTCCGAACTCGCAAACACAGCCAAAGCAGGTGAGGAGGAGTCGGAGGGGCCCCACCCTGCAGGTGGGCAGGGCTTGGTAAGCCAGAGGGGCAGGAGGAGGGAGGCAGAGGCTTGGCTCTGCACAGGAGATCTACCCTCCTGAGCTCCCTCTTTTAGAGGTACCTGGGACGCGCCTGGTTTGGTGGGATCTCCAACGTCTCAGGGCCATCTCTCCCAGAGAGAACGGGGGAAATCCACACACCATCCTGTGCTCTCTGAAATCTCCTAGATGTCCCATACATACTGAAGATGGAATCTCACCCGCACACCACCTGCTGGCCCGGGAGAACCCTCTACTTGCTAGCCCCCAGCTTCCCCGACAAACAGCGCTGGGTCACCGCCTTAGAATCAGTTGTCGCAGGTGGGAGAGTTTCTAGGGAAAAAGCAGAAGCCGATGCTGTGAGTATAAACACGGGCGTGGGAGCTTGTCTTTGTAAAGAGGGCTGACTCGGTAACTGGTCATAACGATGGGAACCCTCGTGGCTGTCTCCATGTCCCTCAGCCTCCCCCTTGAGGGGTGATGGCCCCAGTCAGCGTCATGACTGGTGACGGAGGCACAGGCTCCGAGGTAGCTTGTATAGCATCCCAAGCCCTCCCTCTGCAGCCTCGGAGAATGGGGGAAGCCGAACCGTTTAGCCAGGTCTTGGGGCTTGATAAACCTTGGTCCTGGGAATGTCGCATCAAGTGTGCTCACAGAGAAATCCTCTCCCCTGTTGGCTCTGATGAGTTTGTTTGGTTTGAGGGCTCTAAAGCCACACTGTAGGCTAAAGACAGCCTTGGCACCCTCTCCACTGCTGCAGTATTTGCCTTTCCATGGGCAGTTCGGAAATCCTCCTTACCCTTCAGATGTTAGAAACGTGGCTGGGCCGTGCTTGGCATCACCCTTAGAACATCCCAGCGGATACAAACAGTGCTCATCGCACACTGGTGTTTGCTCCACTGAAGACTAAACACCTCTTTTCAGACCTTAGCGCCTAGTAAATGCACAGACTGCTAACATTCAGAAAATTGTTAACTGCGGGCTTCCCGAAAAGGGCACTACTCACTGGGTAGACCTGTTTCGATGACCTGTTTTGCTGTTATCCATGTGAGCCTTTCACTGAAACCCACGTTCATGTGTGTATACTAGGCCCGTGACTGTGTTTCCTATGAGCTTCTTCCCGCGTGGGTTCAGGTAAAAAAACTCTGAGGCTTCTTGGTTTGCTGCTGACACTGTGCTTTGCACTTTGACAGCAGCCCAGAGGGTAGGAACCTTCCACGGAGCCTGCTAACCCTTTGCAGGTGAAATCGCTTTAGCTTCAGCTTATTTCTTATGACAGAAGAGCTTCCTGTGCCAACTACGCTCACCCACTTCTGCATCTAAGCCGAGTTCTAACTCCAGTGCTGATTAACAGCCACCCCCGCCCCCCAGAGAAACTGTTTTAACACCCAAAGCTTGCCTTTAGAGCTCAGGTCAAAACCGGGGGCGAGCTTAGTAGATATGTGTTTCTGAGCATCTCCAGGAATCACTTGCCTCGAAACTTCTGTTTGTCTCTTGGTATCATTTGGTCATGAGCAGTTCAATTTCACTGTGAATTTCTTTCTCTCTTTTTTTTTTCCTTCCACACGTGTAAAGAAATTACTTGGAAACTCCCTGCTGAAACTGGAAGGTGATGACCGCCTGGACATGAACTGCACACTGCCCTTCAGCGATCAGGTAGTGTCTCCTGCGCACCGTCAGCTGGTGTCCGGCCATAGCCCCGCACCACCAAGACAGAAAGGGTGGTGCAGTGTCTGACACTCTCACTGGTGGGGTTGTGACAGTGACATGGTTGTGCTTACGGGTCTGCCTTTGGACGTCTGCCCTTGCAGGTGGTGTTGGTGGGCACCGAGGAAGGGCTGTATGCACTGAATGTCTTGAAAAACTCCCTCACCCACGTCCCAGGGATCGGAGCAGTCTTCCAAATTTATATCATCAAGGACCTGGAGAAGCTACTCATGATAGCAGGTGCGAGGCCCGGGACACGGTGCTTTTCTTGTCTTTTAAGGGAAACCATTTGAGAGCCAGATTTCATGCTCGTGCACCACCAAAGCAGAGCCTCCTGGTCAAAGGTTGGAACAGTGCTGGCCTGTTTCTTCCTGTCCCTGTAGATGCCCAAACCTCTCTGACCAGATCTGGTCCCTTTTCAGAGTCAGATCAGCACAGTCTGACAGCCCTCAAAGAATACCTCACCATCTTGCCAAGTGAAGAGTTGCCAAACCCTCTGTCCTGACTGCACTGGTGCTGCTGAGGGCCATGGCCATCTGAGAGCCCACCTGCTGTTACTGTGTGCTGTCCATGAGATCCGTGAACTCCCCCAGACCCTTCCTCCAGATTTGGCACTTGCTGACATTTTGTCACAATTCTTTTCTCTGTTCCCCCCTCCCCATCACACCACTTTTTTTCATGAACCATTTGACAATTAGTCGTAGGTATGACCTCAAGTCTTCAGCATGTTAACCTAAGAATAAGAACATTCTTTCAGGTTTTTTATTTTTAATCTTAGCATAATTTTTTTTTCTCTCACGTTGTTGACCATACTGTATTTTTTTTTTTTCCTTAAGGGAAAACCAGTAATTGATTGGTTTTGTTTTTGAAATATCCACAGTTAGATCTGAAGGTTTTAGGCATGGCTGGATCCAGAGGCTAAAATAATGTGGTCAGAAATGAGTCTTTCTTGATCTTGTCATTCTTTTCCTGCCATCATCTCTGTTTTCCCTCCCCTCCCATCTTCCTCCCTTCATTTTACATTCATACATCAAAATGGAGAGGAAAACACGGAGAGTCCCCATACACCCGCTGTCCCTACGTGTGCACACAGCCTCCCCTGCCGTCAGCATCCTCCACCACGGAGGTACGTGTGCCGTGATTGTCACACCGATACCGACACCTCCTTACCACCCAGTCAGTGTTTACACACGGTTCACTCTTGCTCTCACACATTTTAGAGATTTTGACAAATGTATATTGACAGGTGTCTACCATGATAGTATCAAACAGAATCGTTTCACATGGTACAACGTCTACATGCAGGACATTCAACACTTGCTCTAACATACTGAGCTGATATACTGTCCCTAGTCAGATTTTACCTGTGGCCCCAATCAGATCCTTTGTAGTCCTTCATTTTGCCAACTCGTAGTCCAGCTCGAGGTCATGCACTGCATTGCCTCATGTCTCTTTAGCCTGGGATGGTTCCTCAGCCTTTCTTCTGTCCTCTGTGACGTTGCCACGTTGGAACAGTCCACGCCTGTTGTCTTGTCGAATGCTCACTCATTGCTCCCTAACTCAGTCTTTCATTTCTTTGCTAGGGAGCAGATTTGAAAATACAGTTCACATTCTCCAATTTTATATCTGTAGAATTTTTTTTTTCCCTCAGAATCTTTTTAAGTTTCTTTCTTTCTTTTTCTCTCTCATTCTTCAGAGAGAGTCAGTCAGTCAGTCTACTCTGAATCTCAGCCAGCCCAGATCGTGGACACTTGTGTGCTTGGCATGCACAGGGAGGGCCCAGGATGAAACGCTAGGACCTACCCACATGTATCTAGTTACATTACTGCTATGCCACCACTGCCCCTCCTCCTCACCCCCTTTTTTATTAAATGAGTGAGAGCATGGGATGGAGAAAGAAAAGAGATCATTACAAATTTTTTGACAAGGTTTCATCATGTCATGACCCTCCTGTCCCAGCCTCTTTATTAGCTAGGACTATGGGCACACACCACTGTGCCCTGCCCATTTAGTTTGGGTTGGGAACCCAACCTTGGCCTTCCATGTGGCCTCAACCAACAAGCAGTGACTCCCTCCCTCTTCCAACACTGTGGCTGGACCTTCGCCTCTGGCTCTTTACTAAAAGGCCATGTGTTTATCTTAGATCTAAAACATGGACCAAAAATACTAGGTTGTAGGAAAAGTCTTGATGTATTTTTTTTCCATGCAAAAATGAATCATGACTTTTCCAGCGACCCAATATGTTTATAGGGATCTGTGGAAAAATCTATCTTCATGGTCTCTTATGGTTTATTGGTGACTTGAACCAGGACCGTCATCCCGGGTCTTTACTCACTGACTTCACGCTGATAAGAGGCTTCTCTTCCCCTCCAGGAGAAGAACGGGCCCTGTGTCTTGTGGATGTGAAGAAAGTGAAGCAGTCCCTGGCACAGTCCCATCTTCCCGCCCAGCCAGACATCTCACCCAACATTTTTGAAGCTATCAAGGGCTGCCACTTGTTTGCTGCTGGCAAGGTGAGCTGTCAGCTGGTGGAATGTTCTGGAAATTAACACTGCCCCTCTTCCCACAGAGCTTATTGATTTGCCCTTGAAAATTGTGTGCCCTCGCACCGGGTTAAATTTCTCTTGTTTCCTTTAAGTACATGAGATAATTTATGTAGCCCTGAAAATTGCACAGGCTGAGAGGAAAATGAGAAGAAAATTAACAAAACTGACAGGATGGCCCTTTGTTTTTAAAAAGTGTGAATGTGTGTTGTATGATGAGCCCTTTTTAAAAAAAAAAACAAATCTAACATGGAATCCCATGGATGAAAGGATGTTTTATTATTAGAAATTTATACTTTCTAATTTATCACATTTGTAAATATACAATCAGTCCATGAGAATGCAAGTTAATTTTTTCATAGCATATTGAAATTTGGCACATAAATATGGGGGGGCTTCAAAGTGTGTGGCAAAATGGAATTACAAGTTTATTTTGGTGCAAAAAATCGAAATCTATGCATATTTTTCTCATAATATGGATTTTCCATAAACTTTTGAAGACCTCCTCATAACCACACTTGCGTCTTTAAAAATGTTTAATGAAAATGAATATGTATGAGTATATACGCACATATAAATAAAAATTCAACAATATCTGAGTCAAGGGAGTTCTGCTGTTTTGTAAACATCACCTTTTGCACCTCAGCAGACTACCCACAGGGTGTTTGTTCATTTAGTTGCTCAATTAACGTTGACCACATCTTAGGTACATGGCTGGTCTATTCTGAGGGATGCAGGACTGATCCGGAAGAGACATGGGCAGCCATCAGCCCTCTGCACGGGGAACTTAACCCTGGCCTGTGGTTCTTGGTGGGGTTGTGGTTTCTGGAGCCTTCTGGTGAAAAGGAAGATTCTTTTCCTAGTCACTTACATGAATGTCGGGCCTCTTTAATTGTGGCAAATAACAGAAAGGAGACAGCATGTAAAGGAAGGAGTGGCTGGCTTAAGAAAGTGTAAATGTGAAACATGCTTCTTGGAAGAGGTGAATCTTTTTTTTTTTGGAGAGGTTTTTGCTATAGGGCACATGTGCTTGCCAGAAAGACAGAGGGAGACAGAAAGTGAGAAATCACCCCCCAGGAGGATGGCCATGTCGCAATCCGTTCTCCTCCATACGCATCTTGGGGTCTTGGGCATGCATGCACATGTGCCAGGCGTGAGATTAAGCCTCCGGGTCTGGGACTCGAACCGCGGTCGGCTACATGGGAGTCCAACGACATACCCATTGCATCAACTGCTGGTCCCAGAGGTGAATCTTAAGGAGAATGATAGAAATTGCCAGAGGGAACTGGGGATTTCAGACAAGCCCAAATAAGGTGAAAACCATGTACTCATCAAGTTGAACAATGTTTTTCTTTTAAAGAGAAAATTTTTTTTCTTTTTTCTCTCTTCTGTTATTTGCTGTGTTCTTTTCTAGTATCACATTACCTTTCTCATCCCTACTCTTACTTGTGACATATCTTTCACCTTTCATCCATCTCAATCTCACCAGAGACATTGTGATTTTATTCATCTTCACAAAGGAGCAGCTTTGAGCTTTATTATTTCCACTATGGCATCATTATTTTTTTTAATTTGCCAGATAGTGCACGTGCTTGCCAGAGAGAGACAGAGGGAGGGAGAGGAAGAAGGCACCTCCCATGGGGCATGGGCTGTCACACTTCTCTTCCATCTCTCCCTCCTTTTCAGATTCTGGGCATTCACGCAGACGTGCCTGGCATGCTCTTCAAACTGCCTAGTCCAGGACTCTAAACCGTGCAGCCGGTTGTGCGGATCCAGCTCCCTTAACCACCAGGCCACAGGCTGGCCCTAGCATCATTTTATGTGTCATAAATATTTGCTTTTATTATTATTTTTTTAAATTTTTGTGCTAGGGCTTGTACACTCTCAGAGAGAGCGAAAGAGACGGAAAGTGAGAAATCACCCCCAGGGCATAGCCACACCACAGCCTTTTACTCCACTCTCCTCTCAGGATTTTGGGCACGCGTGCATTCACACCTGGCGTGTGTCGCAAGCTGTAGGTCCGGGACTCCGATTGGGAAGCTGGCCATGTGGGATCCAGCCACCTCAGTCTCTGAGCCACCTGCTGGCCCTATTTTGTTTTCTAATTCCTTCATTTTTTTCCCTGACCTTCCTCTGTTCTTCTGATTTCTTGTTTTGTTCATTAATTTTTAGAGTATTTTTTCTGTTTTAAGCATTTTAAGGCTATGCATTCTCCTCTGTTATTTCAGTTATACCCTGGAAACTTACTATCATTCCATATATTTTTAAATTTTTCTTATGAATTTTCTACGAATGATGAGTTACTTAGGAATGTGCATTTTGGCTTCCAAAAGTTGCTTTTTATGCATTCGTAATTATTTTCATGAAAATGCTTGAATCTATACAAATCATGAAGGCTAATGTGGCAAACGTCCAGGAATGCACTACCCAGCCTAAGGAGTAGAATGTTACTAACCATTTTCATTCTCCTGAGTGTTTCTCCCAGTCCCACCCTATCCTCCCCAACCACCTTACCAACCGCCAGTCTTTTCAGGACTGAACTGAGCAATAAGTCTCTTTCATCCCTGATGAAAGACAAAAATCTGACTACAGGAGTTGATGCAAGAGAGAGTCAACTCTTCTAGAAAAAGAGAATTTTGACATAGAATTCTATATACACATATCTTAGTTAAGACTTTTCCCTCTGGACCAGAATTTTCTCTAAATTCTTTTTTTGCTAGAGGGTACGTGCGCTTTCTGGAGAGAGAGAGGCAGACAGGGAGAGGGAGAAAGCACACCCAATGGCACATGGTCGCACCACAATTCCTTCTCCATTTCTCCATCCTTTTGGGATTTGGGGCAGACTCACACACACATACACACATGTGCCTGGTGTTTCTCAAGCCACTGGAACTGGGGTTTGAACCACGAGATCAACCATGCAAGATTTAGTTTACTTAATCAGTACTCCATGAAGACAGATCTCTCTAAATTGTTAGTTATTTCTACTACCTTTCCTGTCCCCTCCCTCATCCGCCCTCTCCTCCTCCCCACATAGTTAGAAAGGTTGTCGAAAGACTGTCTCCAGCAAAAGGCACATACCCAAGAAATGTGTGTGGTGTCAGGTGAGCCATCTCTGCATCCCAGGTAACACAGCGGTTTTCAGCTGGAGAAATTGTGCCCTCCTTGGGGACACTGGGCAATGTCTGGAGACGTGTTTGATTATCAGGCCCGGGGCTGTTACAGGCATCTGGTGGGTCAAAGCAAGGGATACTGCTTAACCTACAATGGATGGGACAGCCCTCCCCACTCCAAGGACTGATCTGGTCCAAACGGTCAGTAGCGTTGAGGGCAGAAGACCCTGCTCTGAGCCGATGTTCCATCCCTCGTGTTGCCGCAGAGCCAGTATTCACACAGATGACTCTCTTTTTCTTCCTTTCTGTTTTTTTTTTTTCTCCCTCCTGGTTGCTTTTCAGATCGAGAACGGGCTCTGCATCTGTGCAGCCATGCCCAACAAAGTCATCATCCTCCGCTACAACGAGAACCTCAGCAAGTACTGCATTAGGAAAGTAAGTCCCGGCCTCATCTCCACTGTGCAAGGTCCAGCCTGCCTGCTGTCATGGCGGACTGGCGTGGACAGTGTGCCTTCTCAGGGACTAGCTTCTGGTCCCTTCTACCATGCAGTCCTCCACCAGGTGACCTCCCTCAGCAGCAAGTCCCTTCTTTCTAGAGGAAGCTCCAGTGTCACCGGTAGCGACAGTTCTCGTTCTCATTTTTCTGCTCATGTCTGGGAGCTGCCTCCCTATCCAGCCCAGTAAATTCAGTTCCTTCTTGAAGCAGAAAGTTGGCCGACAGAGGAGACACTTATTTTGAACCAGTGGATAAAAGGAAGGTGCTCTCTCTGAGGAGCTAGACGTCTCGGGTAGCACTTATCAGAATCTTCCTCAGGTCCTAGACGGTTCTATTAATAGCATTTTGGAGTACCCAGCGCTGGCTCCATTTCAATAGGTAATTAGGGAGCAGGTTCTCCTCGGAGCAGAGTGCATTGTGGTGATGTTTGCAGTGTGGACAAGGTGGAGATTAGATTGTTAATTTTTGTTTTTGAGAGGTTTTATTTATTTTTATTTTTTTCTTTTGCTATAGGATGTGTGCAGTCACTGGAGAGACAGAGAGAGATGGAGAGAGAGAAAGTTACCACCCATGGGGAATGGCCATGCTGCAATCCCTTCTCCATTTTTCTCTCTGGATTTCGGGCACACATGCACAGGTGCCCAGTGTGAGTTTCAAGCCACCAAGTCTGGGACTCAAACTGCAGTTGGCCATGTGGGAGTCCAGTGCCTTAACCACTATACCACCTGCTGGTTTCAGATCATTCAACTTTTTATAGTCTTTTCCATTTCTTTCATGAGAGAGAGAGATACAGAGGAAAAGGGAGAGACACACAGAGAGAAGGAGAGACAGAGAGCACCCCCAACAGTCTTTACGCTGCAGTCCTTTCCCAGTCAGCCCAGGTCATTGGCACGCGTGTGTATGTGTGTGCCCTTGGCGTGCACAAAGAGGCTCCAGGACATGAACCGAGGACCTTCCCGTGTGGGTCCAGCATAGCAGAGCCCATGCTATCACATCCAAAGCCCTCAATGATTCCATTTGCCTTCTTCTGTAGAAGGCTGTCCATTGTCCCCACACTCAGAATGGTCTGCTCAGCATAAGCTTGGTGCTTTCATGATTCGTGTGCAGAATGAAATGAGGGTGAATAATAATATCTAACAGTCATTACCTGTCAGAGGAACTGTTTCTTTTCCTTTGTGTGTGTGTGTGTGTGTGTGTGTTTGTTTTTTAAGAGAGAGATTTTTGCTATAAGATGTGTGTGTTTGCTGGAGAGACAGACAGGCAGAAGTCACCCCCTCCCTGGGGGGGGATGGCATGCCACAATCCCTTCTACTCCATTTTCCTCTTGGGATTTTGGGCATCCATGCACACATGCCTAGTGTGTTTCAAGCCGCCAGGTCTAGGATTCGAACCACGGGTGACCATGTATGTAGGAGTCCAGTGACCATTATGCCATCTGCTGGTCCCTTGTTTTGTTTCTGTTTATTTAAAGAGAGAATTTTTTGCTATAGAGCATATGCATGAGAGACAGAGAGACAGAAAGTGAGAAATCGCCCCCTAGCAGGGATGGCCATGCCACAGTCCCTTCTCCTCCATTCTCCTCTTGGGATTTTGGGCACGCACCCATACATGTCCAGTGTGACTCTTAAGCCACCAGGTCCAGGACTCAAACCACAGTTAACTGTGGGAGTCCAGCTACATAACCATTATGCCATCTGCTGGTCCCAGATGTCCTCTGGGGAGAACATTGTTAGTTTAGCTTGTATATTTATTGAGCACCCACTGGTACCAGAGATTGAGTTGCCTTTTACACTTGGTCACAAAAGTGCTGACTAGCAGAAGAGTGGGGTGTCATCCTTGGTTTTCAAGTAAGACAGTTGACGTTAGGAGAGGTCTTAAGTTATATTGGTGAGACCAGACCTGAAGTTTGATTTTTCCCTACGTTTCACTATATCATCCTGCCTAAAATGTCCCCCTACTTAGTAGATGATCAGTAAGTATTCAATGGTAATGATAATGCTTAGTAACATTTAACTGTTAGCTTCAGGAAAATTCTCAGAAACCATTGCTTCTTTATGATCCCTGGCCACCGTGTAGAATAATCACGGCAGATTTTTCGATGACCTTAGGATTGGTCTAAAAACAAGAAACGTAATTAGGAAGCAGATAATTAAGATGGGATGACAGTTATGATGAAAATGATGATGATAATTGTACCCGCAGCGTAGGCTCAAATTAGGAGCTAGCAAAGAGAAGGAAACTAGAAACACTCCTGCTAACCACCACTGTCAATAGTTGGTGTGTTTTCCCAGCCTTTTCATTTTTTTTTTCCTCTGACAAAAATGTTGGATTGATAAAGTTCTATATTTTATTTCTTTAAGCTTTTTATAAAGTTAATTTTTTTCCCCCATGAATGAGAGAGAGAGACAGGGAGGCAGGCATCCCCAATAAGGAGAGAGTTGATGCCATGATCCACCCCCAGCCCCAGCTAGTCCTGGCTCATGAGCACAGGTGTGTCCAGTGTACTCAGGGAGGTCTCTGGACTTGAACTGGGAACCTTCCCAGGTGGGTGAGCCACACAGAGCATCACATTTTACCAATGCACCCTTGAGTGGCCCTTGTATCTTTTCATCGAAATGATGTTTTTCTGCTCAGTTGCACTTTAGCCTTGCTGTCTTAGCCTGGGGTGGTACAGGAC